ATGATAATATAAACTGTTAAATATTAAGTTGAAATGTATTTTCTAAAATAAAAATCAATTAAAAACAAAATTTATGCATAATTTACGAAAACAGTTAACACAAGATAATTATTTTAAAAAGGAAAATGATCAACAACTTCAACTTTGACTACACCCTAATCCCGTGATTTATGCCACTGCTTTCCCCCACCAAATTGCATCAAAATCGATTTACTTTAATTAAATATATATGTATACATAAAATGATATATTCATTCGTCACATATAAGTTTATATGGAATAAAAGTATTTTCATATTCTAATGAAAAAAGTATAAAGCTACAATTAACTCAGGATGCTCCTAGTCGCTGGCATATATTCAATATTTAGCTTATTGTGTAATTAGCTTAAGCCCTTTTATTATTGTTTGGTTTATCTTTCTTTCCATTTCATTGTTATGCATCATTTTCATATTAATAAAATGATCCCTTTTGGGTCATTGGGTGTTAAACTTTATGGCATCGTAACATATCTTCTCATTTTGATCACCAATTTCACGGATCGTATTTGATTTGCACTCGAATTTTCTAGATAAGCATTTAATTGATTTCGTCTCATATTTGATTACTATTTCGCAACTAATTGATTTAGTTACCACAAAGACTATTTTCTGTAAATCTTAAGCTAAAAATAATGTAAATAATTTATTCTAAACAAAAATGCCACGCGAATGACACTTCTTTACTTAACAAATCTTTTAATCTTAATCTAATCATCACCCCCGGTGTATATATCCATCCCCCCTCCCTGTCCACTACTTTCACTCCTCACTCTCCAACCTTCTCTAATGGCGGAAATTGGGTTTCCTCTCCTCTGTATTCTTTTCACTTTATCACTCCCATCCATTCTGTCTCGCAGCCACTTACCTACTTCCACCGGAGAAACTTCGGAGCTCGATGTATCTGCTTCCATCCAGAAAACACTCGATGTCCTCTCATTCACTCCTCGCCCTTCACAGTCGCTAATGGGCATCGTCTTTTGACTCCTCATCGTCCTCTTCGCTTCTCAGTCTGCAACTGCATTCTCGAGTCTCTGTTCACAAATCCTCACACCAAGATTACGAGTCAGTTATGTTAGCTAGACTCGCTCGTGACTCAGCACGAGTGGAATCCCTTCAAACCAGGGGTAGATCTAGCCGTTAATGGCGTCAGGAAAGCGGATCTTAAGCCGGTAGACACTGAGCTTGCAGCTGAGGACTTGGAAGTTCCGGTGATTTCAGGTACGAGTCAGGGAAGTGGAGAGTACTTCTGCCGAGTGGGAATCGGTCGTCCGGCGAGTCAGGTTTATATGGTGCTCGATACCGGTAGTGACGTCAACTGGGTACAGTGCGCACCCTGCGGCGATTGCTACCAGCAAGCGGACCCCATTTTTGAGCCGGCGTCGTCCACCTCCTACTCTCCGCTCACCTGCGACGCTCACCAGTGCAAATCTCTCGACGTTTCAGAGTGCAGAAACGGCACCTGCTTGTACGAAGTATCCTACGGTGACGGGGTCATACACCGTCGGAGATTTCGTGACGGAAACTGTGACTCTAGAGGGATCCACCGCTGTTCAAAACATAGCAATCGGCTGTGGACATAATAACGAGGGACTGTTCGTCGGAGCCGCCGGATTAATCGGTCTCGGCGGCGGAGCGTTGTCGTTTCCTTCACAGATAAACGCGACTTCCTACTCCTACTGCCTGGTGGATCGTGACTCAGACTCGGCATCAACTCTGGACTTCAACTCACCGACTCCCCACGACGCCATTACAGCTCCGTTATTGCGAAGCACCAAACTCGACACGTTTTACTACGTCGGTTTAAGAGGCCTCAGCGTCGCCGGCCAACTGTTACATATCCCGTCGTCGACATTTCAGCTAACAACCGACGGTAATGCCGGTGTTATAGTTGACTCAGGTACGGCGGTGACTCGGTTGCAGACGGTGGCATACAATGCGCTACGGGACGCGTTCGTAAAGGGCACGAAGGGGGCTGCCGTCGGCGAACGGTGTGGCGCTGTTCGATACTTGCTACGACTTGTCGGAGAAGAAGAGCGTAGAGGTGCCAACGGTGGCGTTTCATTTCTCCAACGGGAAGAAACTGGATTTACCGGCTAAAAATTACCTGATACCGGTTGACTCGTCAGGAACGTTTTGTTTTGCCTTTGCTCCGACGTCGTCTTCGTTGTCGATTATAGGGAACGTACAACAACAAGGGACACGTGTCAGTTACGACCTAGAAAACTCCCTCATTGGATTCTCTCCTAATAAATGCTAATAATCTTCGATGCAAGAATTTCTTTTTTTTATTTGATTTTATTTTCAACTTTTTTATTGCTTAATTTCGAAGCTTTGTCTTCCTAAAAGTTAATTCGGCTCCAAAAAATGGTAATTTGTAAGAGAGGAATTCCGCATCAAACTATTAAGAATGTAGGGTAAAATGGTCTTTGTAACATTTATGTAATTAATAACTGAAATGTTCGTTGTTATTTCTATTTTTTTTATGTGGTTGACTGGTGTGTAGTATCAAATGGTGTTTATGTCCAAATTAGTTAGACAAATGAATATTTATTTAAGGAGATTTAAGTAAATCTAATTATTATAAATGAGATTTTTAAAAAGATTAAAAGATAAATGTATATTTTTTTTCAGTTTTTAAAAAATAATCAATTTGTTTCGAATATCATCGGACTACTGAATCATAACTTGGAGATTTTTTTGTTCTTTTTTTCTTTTGTTTTCTCTTTTTTTTAAATCTCTTTACTAGTATCCAAAATATCTGAAAAAATATCTATTTCAGACGTGTAATAATCTTCAAAATCCGGAAGTTTTTTTTCCCAATTTTTTAGTAAAATTTATCTATTTTTCTATTTGTCTGAATTTTAAAATGTCTGATAGGACTGTTTTTCAATAAAATATCGGATTATATATATAATGTTTAATTTCACTGTTTTTCAATAAATCATCAGATTTTATATATTAATATTGCACATCACCATGAATTTTTAAGATTTCGTTAGATTTAAATAAAAGAAAAAAGAACAATTTTTTTCTCCGGAATTGTTAATTGGAAATCAAATTTTTTCTTTGAAATTTCAGTACAGAATATAAAATTTTCGTCCGAAGTTCATGAATATTAGTCCGAAATGCGTTTTTTTTGTTAAAAAATATTTTTACCTAATTCAAAATATCCAGCCAAAATGATTATTTTTATTAAAAGTTTATATATATATATATATATATATATATATATATATATATATATATATATATATATATATATATTCAAATGAATGTTTAAATTATGGTTAGATTACTTATTTTATTTTATTTCAAATACACGTTAAATAGTCTATTTAGCCAACCCTATTTAAAATTAAATATAATCTACTTTCCTTTATATTTAGTCAAAGTAAGTAAGTGAGACTTTAACATTTTCTTTGTATTATAGTTTGTCTTGGAATCACCGACAATCATCCGCTTTAATCACTTTTGAGGACGTGTTAAAAGAGATGGTATCCGTATCCATTCCTACGTTCTTCAAAACATCTTTATTCATTACACGTCAACAAAAACTTTTCTTTTTTAGGCATTCATTTAAGTCATTAAACTTGCTAATTAAAGTTAAGAGATGAAGCTTAACCGATAATTAAATGTTGGGTTATAGTTGAAAGGGTTGTTACATGTTGTATAAAGAAATAGGCGGTAAAAAGATATACTTGATGGTTATTATTAGAATTAGTTATGTGAAATGAACTATTCATATGATGACATGTTTATTGAACCAAAAATGTGTTTTAGTTTTTAAATCCTATTTGATATTTAAGTGCCTAAAACATGGAACTTATTGGACCCTAAGATTACATATTATTTTAAACATGAAACCCGGAAAATAAATAATTGGTACTGCAACAATAAGGAAAAGGGAAAGGTGTGAGGAGGAGGTTGTTTAAAGTGAGATTGTAAGTTGTGTACTTTTTAACTATTTTGAATTTTTATTTTGTAATGCAAAAGGTTGAGGCATTAAGCATCATGGTTAGTGTCGATCTAAACTTTATCTTTTTCTTGAGAATATACAAACAAATTAGGTTAAATCTTCTAAGTTTTAACCAAAATTGAAGTGAAAATTTAGGTTTTTTTCAAAAATTATCATGAACTTTGTATTTGCGCACGTCAAGTATGCGAAAAGATATTTTCTTTATAAAAGAATCTTCAATGTAACGTCCTTTTTGATAAACCCACAGGCCAAATAGCTATCGTATGATTTTATTTATTTATTTTATTTTATTTATTTTTTATTTAAAGCTAATGCGTTGTCTTAATATCCATATACGAATAAAAGAATAGTTTTTTGTCATGTTTCACCATATTAAACATTTTAATTAATGTGTTGTCACTTATCAATCTATTAGTTTTTCATTTTAAATTTATTAGACTTCATCATTAATGTGATTTTATTTTAAATTTTAAATTTAAATTATTGTTTTCATTAATTCATAAATAAAAAATATCTAATATATATAAAAAAATTAATTTTATATATTTATTTGAATCAATGATTATAATTTCACATAACTAATAAAAATATCTCTTAAATTAATAATTTATTTAAAATAACTTATTAATAATTTTAAGTTTTTATTTTAAAGTTTGATTAATTTTATAACCGTGTTCCCACAGGTTATAAACTAATTACAGAATATTTTATGTAAGTTAGCTAGATTTCTCTTTTCCCTCTTATTTTTTTTCTCGCTTATAGACATATTTTTTGAGATTTTAGTGTTGCACATTCATGGATGAATGCTTTAATCAATGACTCGTTCTAATAAGGGATAATGACTTGAAAGGTTAACGAACTTTTGATTTTTGTCACATTTAGTCACTAAATTTTTTTTCGTTATCTATTTGTCATTGAACTATTAAAACTGTTTACATTTACCCTTATGACCGGCTGTTTCCGGTCATAAGGGTAAAATGTAAACAGTTCCAATAGTTCAATGACAAATAGATAACGAAAAAAAGTTTAGTGACTAAATATGAACAGAATCGAAAGTTCGTTTCCCTCTAAAAAGTTCAATGACTAAATGTGAACAAACTTCCTCTTGTATTATGTTTTAGCAAATTATTTATTTTTGTTAAATTGTAGCAACATTTGTTGATGAAGAAAATCTATGAAATAAAAAAAAAACCCTGAAAATATATTTAAAAAAAAAACAAAAAACCAAAACCGAAATAAAAAACTAATGGTTTGACATTTTCCAAAATAAAAAATCAAAATTTCCAATCTAATTTTGGTTTTACAAAAAAATGAACCATTCTCACTGATGTGAATTATGACCATTGGTTTGGCATGTGAAATTTGTGACATCCCATGAATATGTAGTTATAACATCGTCTGAACTCATAATTCATAGTAAGGGGTTAGAGTATCATCGCATGAATACGTAGTTATAACATCGTCTGAACTCGTAATTCATAGTAAGGGGTTAGAGTATCATCGCATGAATACGTAGTTACAACATCGCATGAAATCGTAATTCATCACCTACAGGTTATGGGCCTGCTGGTGTTTCCACTGCGTTGACTAGAATAGTTCGTGGTCGCCATCTATACTCTGGTAGATGACTACATCGCCACATTGTTGGTTAAGGTTATGGTATCTCCTTTCATCCTACATCACATATTCATCATCATCTATTTACCTAATTATCATCACCTTTCTATCATCACCTATCTCTCATCATTTTATTTCATCACATTGCTGGTTAAGGTTATGCTTACTAACTTCGAACCCTAAGGTTTACTCTACTAAAGCTTCATATTCTTGGCTCTCTGGACCTAAAAGGGTCCAGATCTATCACACCAAAAAGCTCAAGATAGCTCTTCCTCTCACTCTACACACTCAACCTCGCTAGGGTTCTCACTTATGGGAAAGGTAGTCGCAATTGAAGGCCATAAGTGCCTTTAAATATTGCTCGGGCCCAAAGATTTAGGGTTTCTGCCAACAGCGCGGACTCGTCGAGTCGCCTCACCGACTCGTCGAATACATTAATTAATCCGAGTCATCAGTCGCAACCTTACTCGACGAGTTGAGGCGTCAATTCGTCGAGTCTCTCTTCTTAACTCAAAAGAAAAAATACTTAAATTATGATACCTGGAAATCCGGATGTTACATTTTGTTTTTTTATTTTATGCATTTCTTCATCAACAAATGTTGCTACAATTAAACAAAAATAAATAATTTTGCTAAAACGTAATACAATAAGAAGTTTGTTCTCCTTTAGTCATTGAACTTTTTAGAAGAAACGAACTTTCGATTTTGTTCACATTTAGTCACTAAACTTTTTTTCGTTATCTATTTGTCACTAAACTATTGAAACTAGTGATTTTGATTTTTTTAAAACTCAAATTAGATTCTAAGGTTTAAAAAATTTGCAAGAAAAAAAACTATAAAATAAATATTAGAAAATTTTAAACAAATTGAGATTGCTCAGTTGCAAGCTTTTAAAAGTTTTGGTTGTGAGTTTATATACCAGACATTGAAGCTGGAAGGCAGGAAAGAAATAACTTAATTATCTTTGGTGAGAATATCGATGATCAAAGCAATATAAACCATACATCTTAACCACCTCAACAACACCTTCCATTTTTTTTTTTTTTTTAGAAATATATATATATATATATATATATATATATATATATATATATATATATATATATATATATATATATATATATATATTAGCTAAGTTTCAAATAGTCAATTTTTTAGTTTGCTCGATGAATTTTTTAAAAATATACATTTTTTAGTTTATACGTGAATTTTATACAATCCTCTCGAAATATTCACGAGTTTAACCCCTATCAGGCATTGGCTAATTCACGACTAAATTAAACGAAGTAGGGGTGTAAACGAGTTGAGTCGAGCCGAATACTACCAAGCTAGAAGGTCAGCTCGACTAAAATACTCGAGCTCGAAACTCGGCTCGAACTCGACTCGAGCCTTGATTTTAAGCTCGAGCTCGGGCTCGTGAAATACTCGACAATCTCGAGCTCGGCTCAGCTCGTTTCATGGTCCAAAACCTTAAAACTTTGACCAAAAGTCAAAGTCAGCAAAA